TGTCTGTTTCCTCTCCACCTATCTTCTCCTCTATCCATCTTCTATCCGCCTCCCCCTCTCTCCCTATTTATTTCAGAACCCCCTTCCCCTCCTCCATTTCTGATGAAGGGTCTAGGCCCGAAACGTTAGCCTTTCTGCTCCTATGATGCTGCTTGGCCTGCTGTGTTCATCCAGCTCTGCACCTTGTGACCTCAAAGAGCATAATCTTTTTACCCCTCTTTACCATATAAAATCTATTTTTTGTTTTACATTCTGCATGGCTCCTGTCCATATACTTTGTTAACTATGAAATATAATAATTTAACTGGTTTAACTAGAAAAGAATAGTAGCAATGATTTTTTTCTCTTGATAATTGCCTTGTGATCACTACTTCAATGTTCATACATCTGGATGAAGTGGAACTTGGGAACATTACTTATACATTATGCTCACTGTCATTGTATGAGGAACTTAACTCTGCGGAAGACCAGATGGGTGCTCCAAGCTGCTCCAGGAAGGGAGGAAAGCCAGTGGAACCTTCATGTTTGGAAAAGGAAAGTTCATAAACACAGCAACAAAAAAAAACCTCAAGCCAAAAAGCAGTGAGTTGTTAATATTCTAAATTTCCACTGTTCTACTGAGTGCATGGATGAGGAACAGGGACATGTCTATTGCTGAAAGAAACATGCTTCAATGAATCTTTTGCAAAGGGGGAGAGAATCAAAAGTTATGAAATAAAAGTGAGTCATGAGAGAGCATATATAAACAGATATTTTGATTTGTTGGGTTTATGAAGTAAATTCTGAAGAAATTTATGATAACACAGCTCTATTTTAAAATTTAAAATTTAAATTTATGTTTTTTTCACAAAACAAACAGTATTCCAAAAAGAAGCCATCTTTATGAGACAATATAATAATTAACATATACCTACCTTTCCAGTCCATGTTACCCCTTTAAATATGCAGAAATAAACAATCACCCATGCAAGAATCAGAAGACCAAAAAGCTCCCAGCGCATATTCCCAAGGTCATCCAGACCATTTGTCTTCTGAAGAACATTGTAACTAAACAAATGAGGCAAAGATAATGTAATCTCAGTGATCACAATTCATTCACAAGCAGTTTTTTCTTCACCATTGCTAGTAATGACAATGAATAGAAACTGGAATGAGATAAAGATAGCTGAACCAGAACAATTAAAGTGCAAACAACAAAGGATTAGAATTGTCCAGATTTTTAATATTTTCCTCAAAGTAACATGGAGATTTAATTAATCCTGAAATGATGGATATGAGGAAAAACCAAACAAACTGTACAAAAGGAAAGAGATTATCTGTGATTTCTGTGCATTGCACACTATCTTTTAAACTAGATATTGAAGTATTGTGCTTTCACAAACAGCAAGTTTCATAGAATCATCTCATGCATTGTAAATTTGCCAGCCACAATAATGGACTTCAAATGGTGTCCCCAAGCAAATAATGATCACAAAGAAAGATTCTAGATGATGCAACTCATTGTGGCTCCTTATCGAACCCATATTGCTGAAATGCAGCAAGAAATGAATGCAAAAAACTAAATGAGATTTTTCATGTTTCAATTTGTTATTACACTTTCATCATTTGTGCCTGGATGAAACACAATACAGATCAATATGATGCGATTAGAGGTTCACCTTGGGTAACCTAATGAAGAAGAGAAGCCTGTGAGTTATAGGTATATGGAAGCAGAGCATCTATTGCATAAGGAATAGGAAGAAGATCAGATTATCTTCCTATACTAACCGCATGGAAACTGTGACTGCACATTTATGCTTTGGTTTAAAAAATACATTATAAGTGTAACTGGATGACATCATGAAGAGTTAGGGCATTGGGTTAAAAAAGCTAATGAATTAAGGAACCATTTCTGACTTTTTTTCTTAACTTATACATGATACAGTGAAAATGGACATTTACACACAACAATCAGGGAAGACTCCATTGCCAATCTCATTGAAACTGCAATATGACTTATGCACAGTTGTTTAGATAATTCAAAATCAAGAAAATTGTCCATTATCAATTAAAAGAATAATGTATTGCCGTGGTGTCTGTAGCACAGTTTGTGTCAGACCTTTGGGTGGCATACTGCAATTTCAAAATGTAAGATATATACACAATTGCATTGAAATTCTGAAGTTGCTGCCAGTTTTAGAGGGATAATGGCAGTGAACAGCAACAGTTCACCACCAACTAGCACCCATCAGCAATAACCAGTGCATCATATCTAACTATTTGTATTTACTCCCACCTCACATCACTTTAACATGATCAGTGAAATGTACAAGGTTGCTTTCAGTATTTCCTTGAGCAAATTCTATCCCACCATGGAAAACCTATGCCCCCTAACCCATGACTGTAAATTGCTGCTGCACTTAAAATGATCTATTTTAGGAGTGAAATCGGATCCTTAAGATTTTTTTAGATTTGTAAATATGTTAAATTTTAAAAGTTTATTTGTTTATTTTTCTTTGTCTCTTTTCCTTTCTCTTCATTCAATCTTTCTTTAATTTCTTTATTTTTCTTTCAGCTATTCAAGTTTACATTTCTTTCTCATTGTTACTCTAAATATTTTCCAAATCTTCAAGCTGATTTACTAAGGAATGCACAGTGGCTTGTACCATTCACTCAAGTTCCAATTCTTGGATCCTCCTGCCTCTTGTAACAGTTGTCAATGCCAAACAGGTTGATTGCCAGTAACTGACACCTATCAGCTCACCATTACATTCACTTTACACAAGATAATTAAATATCTAATCGTAGGGCTGTTGGGGTACAGTGGTAGTATCCCTGCCTCTGGATCAGAAGACCAAGGTTCAAGTCCTGCCTGCTCCTGGACTGTGTAATACCATTCCTCAACATGCTGATTAAAAATATCTAAAATCCTAACCGAGGAAAGGCAAAGCTCGCTAACAGCAGATGCCATTGGATGTCTTGTCACAGAATAGTATGGTACGTTATGTCTTAATTTAAAAATTACAGGCCAAGAAATGGTGAAGGGATTGAAACTGCAGGTGAATGATATGAACTGACCAACCAGTAAATTTGGCTGGTAATTTGCAAGTTACTTTCTTTGATCTTTACAGAAAAATGGTACAGTTAATATAATATGAAAGACAAGCTTGAAGGGCACTGGACCTTCAATCAGAAAGCCAGCTTTTAACTATTAAGTACCAGATATTAAACATTGCTTAGACAGACTTCACATACATACTTGTCTGGTCAGAGTTTTATTTCGACTCACCTCCCACAAACTTCAGCAACACTCATTAGTTGTTCCCATTTAAGCAAATACCCAGTTGTTCCTTAATTAATATATAACCATTACCATTGCATTTTGTAATTTCCACAATGGTATTAGTTGGGATACAGCTAGATATTCTAATTTGGATGAGAATGGGGGTAATGTCCCAAAGTAAAGGACAACAATGACTTACTTTACATTATAGCCCAATAAACACTTTATAGCCAATTTATCCCTCAGGTTATAATATTCTCAGATCATCTAGGGACAGGCAATAATGTGGCCTTAACATTCTTGGTCAGGTTCCAAAACCAAAGGCATATCCAGGAGATAAAGGACCACTGGATCTGTTCACCGGATGTTGGTCAGGTCTACAGGGTAGAAGAGAGGGACTGATTCATCCACAGAAACCACACACCTAAAATATATGCTTTGCTTTTTCTCTCTCAGCCTTACCCCCAATTCTTCTGAAAGGTGCAGAATTATTTTAATACTTGCCCGTTAGCACTTAGAAAACATTGAACTTTATCTTTCATCAGTGCTCTTTTGTCTATTTGAACTGAAGGAAGATTAAATAAAACAGAGGACGGCAGTGTAAACATGAGGTATTTTAAAAGACAAACGCTATGTTTAGTCGAAATGCTGGGTTTTTGGAGTCGGAAGGACACTGGAGACTTTTAAGAATGGTGAGTGGAATCTGATTGTGGGATTCCTGCCCACATTCCCAATGTTCAGTGGCACGGGCTAAGTGTGAGGCCAGTGAGCTTCCACTCTTCACTCCTGACCTGGTAGTCTCGTCTGCAGGGTTCAATTACTCTATACCCCTGGAACTGTCCTGGAGTTGGGCCAGTTTGGAGTTCAAGGTCCCTTAGAGGAGTTTGGTTTTGGGCAAGAAGTCTGAAGCTGCAACCTTCCACTCCACTATCAGTTGAAGATCATAAGAGATAAATTAATCTTTAATGCAGGACCACTTAAGGGATTATTCTTTCCTGGGCTGTAGTTAGTTCTGGTTTAGGTGGGATGAGAAAGAGTCAGCCCACCTGGATGTTAGATCAGTATGGGCAGATTGGGGGGAGGGGGAGAAGGGCGAGGGATTGTGATTGAGATTGAGTCCCAGCAGCCATCTGAACAGCCTTTGTTTCCAATCCCACTTCCCCCTAACCCCAACCCTGGAATCACCCTCAACAGAAAGGACTTCCTGTCATCTTGGTCCACAAGCCCTCAAGTCAAAGGATAAAATAAAACTTAACTAAAAAAGACAAATAAATATCTTCCAATTTTATAAAAGACCTTTCCTGTTTTAACAGAAAAGCATCATATTGTAATTTTATTATTTAAAATAGCAATGGACTTTAATTTCCTTCTCACAAGCTATCTTTCCTGAGTTTTAGTGTGAGGTAGTCACACAGAGGACTTTAGCTGATCAGAGTTCATGATCTCTTTGCAGAATCATTACCATTTGAACAGGGGATTTGTCAAAACATATATATTAACTTGTTAATAAATAACACATGGTTAAGTAGGTGGGACTTGAATGCAGGCCTTCTGGCCCAGAGGTAGGGACATCGCCACTATGCTACAAGAGTCCTCCCTCACAAGGAGCTTGTATCTATCTTGCCTAATCAATCTGTCCAGTGAGTTTATTAAACACCTTTAGAACAGATGGGAATTGAACCCAGGTCCTACCACTGTGCCACAAGAGTCCTCCCTCACAGGGAGCTTGTAACACTTTCACAAAATCTGCTATTGAGGTGACAGATAAACAGCCTGTCAAGATTTAATTCAGGCCAAATAGTCATTCATCAACATGGAGTGGAAGCAGTATCAGGTAATGGTCTGAAATAGTTGTCAATGAATGTAACCATTCAAGTTAATTGTCCCCAAGAGCTTCCTTGTTGACAGCTTTATTGAAAGACTTTTCAAGGAACATCATAGCTAGTGTGTCTGGGATCGAACTGATGAGTTACTTTAAAAGAAATACTTTCTAGGAGACAGATTTAACAGGGAAACAATCTGTTTTGCCTTAGGCAAAACATTAAAGTTGCTGAACGGGGCAGTTGCTCTATTTTTATTTATCAATAGGAAATGAAAATCTTTGGTAAACCACCAATTCTAGGCCATTCCTAATTGCCCCTGAATAGGTGGTGCTGAGCCTTCATCTTCAGAACTGGGTGTTGTGCTACAAGGCAATTAAAAATTAACCACATTGTTGTGGGTTTGAAGTCCCGTATAGGTCAGACTGGGTAAGGACAGCAGATCATTTTCACTAAAGGGTATTCAGAAAGCGATGGGCTTTTACAATGATCTAATCATCATTACAGATGCTAGCTTTGTACTCCTGATTTATTTTCTTGTAATTCCATGGCAGCTGTAGTGGAATGTGAATTATTTTCCAATGACTCAGAATTTCTGATTTAGTGTCTCAAGGTACAAATAGGAGCAGTGGGTGTTTGTGCTGTGAGTAAATGGGGCAATCACATAATTTACATTTCTTTGTGAAGAAAGTACTGTTATCCTCTGCACTCATGCTGTTATCTTGTTATATAATAGCACTGGATATGCAAAAAGGCTTCAGATTTAAGCCCAGGGTACTCAACAACACGGTTGTAGATTGGTTAGTCAGTGCTAGTGCCATTAGACATTATATAACAGAAACCCTTGAGTAGGATGAACCAATCAATCTTTTTTCCCCCGATTTCCAGCTTTGAAAGCATTACTAAATGAGGTGCAAAATGCATACCATATTAAAGAATGCATGCTACGAATTAATACTGTAATC